GCAGGGAGTAGCTCAGGCACAGGGGACAGCAACAACTGTCACTGAGATCATGCCCAGAAAGCCAGGAAGAAGCCACCACCCTGAAAGCAAACAGCTACAGAGCACCAGGGAGAGGGATACAACTACCAGTGCTGCAGAAAGGCTGTGAGGAGCTTTTTGCTGTGCACAGCAGAGCTCTGTGACCCCTTGGCCTGGGCAGGCACATGCAGTGTGGGAGCTGAGCACCGGTCCCTGGACACAACCAGCTCTGCTGCCCCTCAGTAGGCCCTGGCCCAGCTCCCATCCCACGGGCACTCACCACACCATTCTCAACACAGAAGCCCAGCTGGTACTTGGAGTCAGGACGGCGGATGATAGCCGTGGTGACAGGGGGACAGCGCACAATGTTCAGTGTCACCTCGGTCTGGTGCTTCAGGTCCTGGAAGGTGGGATGGGGCTTGGTCAGATTTTGGAGAGCTATTCAGACTGGATGAGGGGCGATGCAGCCATGTTGTTCATGGGAGGGCTGAGGATTAGCAACTTGTATGCAATGGGGAAACTGAGGCACACAAAGGGAGACTGCAAATACAAATCCAGGGACAAGAATTTACAAACCCAGCCCAAGACATCCCTGACCCTGAGGCTATGTTGTCCTTGCTTTCAGCTCCTTCCCATCCTACTGAGAGGTAGATGATGCAACAAGTTCCCTTCAGGACAGGTGCCTGCCTCCTCCTCCACCCTCCTTTTCAGACAGGGCCACAGCAAGTACACTCCCCAGCTTTGTCCCTGCCTTCCTCCAAGCACTCCAAGCAGGAACTGCCACAGCTTGCAGGACAGGTATGACCTCTGCACACCTGCCTCCAAAGCTGGGAGCCCCAAGGGACTCCTGGTGTCACACACACTCCCAGATCACTCACACCAGTCCCCACCTCCCTCTTGGGGTGAGGCAGGAGGTCACCGTGGCCTGGCTCACCCGGATGATGCTCTGGCAGGTGCCCAGGGGCAGCCCCACCAGGCTGGTCCCGTTGACCGACATGAGGCGGTCCCCGATGCTCAGCTCGCCCGACCGCTCTGCGGGGCCCCCGTGCATCAGGTTGGCGATGACCACGGTGGGCAGGATGGAGCCCCAGCCCGACTCCACAATGGCGATGCCCAAGATCTCCCCCTTCTGCTTCCGGATGCACACCTGGGGGGAGAAAGGTGGGTTACAGTCATAACCTCCAGAGCTGTGGAGCACGTGTCCCAGCCCACAGCTGCACTCGCAGCTGGCTGGGATGGGTCTGGTTTTGTAGGGAGCACCTCAGCTGAACAGGGAGCCATGGAGTGGCTTCCCCACATTGTCCCCACCCCTCGGAGCAGGTCTTACGTCCTTGCAGTTCTCCTGCCGGGAGAAGTGGGTCAGCTCTGTGTTGTACTGCTCCTGGTCCTCCAGGGCACGGCTGTACTGGCGCGGGCTCAGCTCGTGGGGGTCGATGCTGTTGGCCTCCAGGAAGCGCTGGTAGGCCACGCCGAACGCCTGCCCGATGGCCTGGGCGATCACCTGGGCCTGGAGAACCACAGGGGCTGTTCCTGCCTACAGCTCAGGGCTGGAGCCAACAGCTCCCAGTGCCCTGCAGTGCCCAGCACAGGAACCATCCTTGGGAGCTCCAGGGTGTCCTGGCTCCTTCCCTGCCGGAATGGGCCCCTGTGTGGAGCCAACCCTCCCCTCCACTTTGCTCGCTGGGGCTCTGCGTGTGACAGAGATGCTCAGGCTGGGCTTCTGCCCTCTCCCTGATGAGAAGGAAGGGCGTCTTTGCTGCAGCCCCAGCCAAGAACATCCAGTTATTACAGTGGGATGGGACTCAGGTCCCCAGGGCCACCCGCCCACAACAGAGACCCATGTGCTGCCTCACATCAGGTGAGTGGAAGACGTGGCAGATCATCTTGTAGAGCCGCTTCTCCTCTGCCATCTCCGAGCGCCGTGGCAGCTTCCGGCGCGCCATGAGCACCACCAGGGAGCCAATGTCGGCAATGTAGGAGATGGTCTGGAGGGAGTGGTCCATCATGGCCTCCTGGCAAGGGGAACAGGCAGAGTTCAGCCCCCTTGGGGCTGTCAGACCCTGTGCACACCCCAAGCCTGCTGGCAGTGTGAGCAGGAAGGGTTTGGCTGCGGTGCTGGGATGTGGTACAGCTGCCCAGTACACGCTGGCCAGAAACCATGTCTGTGCCAAAAGGTACAAACAGATCCTTCATCGAGGACTCAATTGTGTCCCTGGGTATTGCCAGGGGACAGGACAGTTCTTCCCTCTTGCTATAATTCAGAAACTCATCCTGAGGCAAAGAGTTCTCCAGATTTCAAGCCTGGGATCCCAGCAGCTCCACAGGGTGCAGGCTGCATGGGAAGCCTTATGCAGCCAGAGAGGCAAGGACATTACAAGGATGGCTATGAAGTGACATGCCCCCCCCCGACATGTGTTCTCATCCATAGGCTATCACTGGGCACCTGCTGTTGTGGGAGCAAAGCTGAGATCCTGAGACCAAACAGGAATATTTAAGCAGCCATGGATCCATGTGGTTACTGCTGTTCCTGCTCACCTGAGTGTCAGCAGTGAGCACCTTGATCCTCTGTGTGGAGACAAACAGATCCACTTCCGTCATGGGCTGGGACTCTCCCTCGGGTGCCTGCAGAGCGATGGAGAGGTCACAGGACCCTGCTGGGACCCAGCCCCACAGCCAGGTGCCCTCAGGTATATCCTGAGTGCTACCCCGCACCCACAGGGGGCAAGGCAGCCGTGTCCCCCATCCCCCCTGCACCTTGATCCTGTCCACCGCCTCCTGGGCCTGCGCCATGCGGACGCTGGTCGGGGGGTTCCTCTCCGAGGCCAGTTGTGTGGAGCCCAGGTACTTGGCCCCAAAAATCACACCATCCAGCAAGTCCTCTGGGTCACAAGGGCCTGGAACTGAGGCGTTGGGAGGGACTGAGCAGAGGCTGCTCCCCCACCTCTGAAACTGGGGGGTACCAACTCCTGCTGCCTTGTTAGCTGTGTTCCTACACACAATGAAGCAGCTCAGTGCTTGGTACATGGGCACATGGCATCACCGGGGGACCAGGGCTGTTTCCCTCTTCCCTTGGGAATACATGGTGCCCCTTTTCTCCCAAGGATAACCCCTCCCTGATCCCTGACACACCTCCATTTCCTCAGCAAAGGCTCAAACAAGCCACGTAGAGCCTGGTACACCCACTCTGGATGGGTGCAGAGCTGGCTGTTCCCTCCCCAGCCGGGACCCCAGATCATGCCCATTCAGGGTCAGAGCAGGTGGGGCAGGACTCCTGGATGCTCTTGCTGCTCAAGCACAGAAGCAACTCACCCTCTTTGAAGGCTGGACAGGATGATGCGGATTCCCTGTTCTGCAAAGCAATGAGAGCAAGTGAGGCTGTGGCTGGGACCTCAGGGATTCTGCCTGACCCTGGAGCAGTGGGACAGTGGGCCCTGGAGCAAGGGCAGAGCATCCCTGGGTATGGGGGAAATGGCATAGGGCTCCAGGGTTGGACAGGGAGGAGCAGGGTCCTGGGGCAGGAGGGGAGGATGGTCCAGGATCCCAGGACCAGAGGAGCTGCTCAGACCCACCAGCCTCTGCCCCAGGATACACATGAATCAGCCAGGCACGCAAGTATGCATTCAGGGCCAAAGCTGGTACTGAGGGTCTTGTCTGGGCAATCTTGCAGCGCAAGGCCCTGCAAGACCCGAGGAAAGTCATTCCTGGCTCTCCTTTGCCCCCATCCCAGACCCCAGGAGGGATCAGAGCCAAGGGGCAAGTCCTGGCTCCTGCTGCCCCACCGCAGCACAGTGCACTCACAGTCACAGCGCCCTGAGGAGGCTGCTCTGTGCCGGGGACCAGAGCAGAAGGCAGGGCTGCCCATGCCGGCTCTGGCGAACCTTCCCGAGCACCCTCGCAGGCAGAATTGTCCTCGCAAAGCCCTTCTTCGTAACACCAGCTGCCAGAAGGTTCTTCCTCTGAGCTCTCTGGCCTCCCCAGCCCTTCAGGCTTCTCCACAGTAGCCGGTTCCTCCTGAGCCTGCATTATCTCCAGGTTGGTTCCAGCCAGGACATCGGAGTGGGCCAGGGGGGTCTCGGCAGCAGCCTCAGGCAGCCCCCCCTCATAGCACAGGAGGTTCAGCAAGTCCTCCCGGTCAGCCTCGGCGAAGAGCAGCCCGTGGCAGGGCCGGTCGCAGGCGGAGTGCCGCGGGCAGCAGGGACGCGTGGCCAGGCCCCGGCCCGTGGCCACGTGCAGCGGGCACGGCCGGCACCGGCCCGGGCACTGCCCGCGGCCCCGCCGGCCACCAGCGCCCGAGGGGGACGGCGAGCCCTGCTCGGGGGCGGACGGGCAGTCGCGGAGCTTGGGGTCGAGGGTCTCAAGCTGAGCCAGCAGCCCTTGGATCTCCGAGGGCTCGTCCTCCACATCCTCGGTCCACTCGGCGCTGGGCGCGGCGCGGGGCTCGGGGGTCTCGTCCAGCTCCATGCCCGCGGGCTCGGCGCTGCTGGGCGTCCGAGGGGCGCTCCCGGCGCCGGGCTCCCAGCGGGCAGAGCCCTGCGGCGCCTCGGGCAGCGCCTCCGCTCCCATCGCCCTTCCCGAGCCCCGGCACGGCTCGGTCCGGCCGCCCGCGCCTCCCGCGAGCGCCGGGGCAGCGCCGGGCCCCGGCCCCTCCGGCCCGGAGCCGCTGCCGGGCTGCGGGCCGGTACGGGAGAGCTCCTCCGGCCGCCCGCCATCCCCACGGCGCCCAGGGGCGGCCGGTCCCTCCTCCGTGTCCATGGCCCGCGGCTCCGCGCTCTCATCGCTGCCGCAGCCGGCGGCAGGGAGCGCGGCCTGGAAGTCCATGGTGATGCCGGCGTCCATGGGGCCGGCGGCCCGGCAGGGGCCCGGGCCGGGCGGGCTCGCTCACTACCGGCACCTCCGGCCGGGACGGGCCGGCCCCGCCGCCGTTTCCGCTCGCCCCGCGCAGGCGCGGCCCGGCCCCGCCCGGCCCCGCCGTGCCCCGCTCCCATGGCCGCCCGGGGGCTGCTGCGGGCGGCGGCGGCCGCGCTGCGCGCCCCGGCCCGCGGCTACGCCAAGAAACCCGGTGAGGCCCGCACGGGCACCGGCCCGGCCCGCGCTGCTCGGCCCGGCCCCGTGTGTCCCCCGTGTCCCCGTGTGTCCCC